GTTATGTCGATTTTTGGGAGTGTTAAAAATTATTTTAAAATTTTATTTGATATAATTATTAAATATAATATATCCAAAATATAACCATATTCAAAAATATTCATATCAAGAATATTGCTGTGATATTCTCTTTTCTTTTTTTCTGTATTGTTTACAAAGTCCAGAATCTACACTTATGCTTCAATTTGGAGAAGCACTTTTCAGGCCCTCAGCTGCTACATGAAGTTGATTGTCACTGTGTGGGACATTCTAGATCATGAGTTCACCAAGTTTTGCAGGAAGGGGTCGGGCATCTACTTAGGGAAATTTAATTCCTACAGGCGAGGACAAAGTGTTTGCCTGCAAAATATTTGAATGTTTAAATAATTAGACTATTTCTTGGCTTCAGTAGGTGAGAGATGAGTTAATTATGATTACGTTTTTGCTTCACAAATGATGTAGCCTCTTGGCTACGAGTTAAAAAGATTAGTTTAAGCATCCTTCATTGCTTGTAAATGTTCTAATTCAGGGTCAGAGAGATGACTCTGCTGGTAATGGTGCTTGCCTTGCAAGTCTGGCAATCTGAGTTTGATCCCTGGAGCCCAATATAGTAGAGAACTGACTCCCTAAAGTTGTCCTCTGACCTCCACATATCTGTCCTGGCACCTGTGGCCACACGCACAGACAATATGCATACATACACACAATTTAAAAAGAAAAAAATAAAAAAAAGTTCTAGTTCAAGTCTTTCTCCTTAGTATCTTGTTTAGTTTTGCATTTATAAACTTCAGAAAAGTGAAAATAGTTATTAGCAATAGTTTCAATAAATAAGAATGAATTTATTCTTCTACTTTTAATTCTAGTTACTGTCATCCACTGCTCTAAATGTGTTTTTGTAATACATACACAATTGAATAGATTTCTTACTTAAACAAGGCACTAAAATATTTTTTAATGTTTTATTTATTATTTTTATTTTGTGTGTATGAGTGCTATGCCTATATGTAGGTAAGTGTGCCTATGTCATGCAACGCCCATGGAGGACAGACGAGGCTGTTGGATCCCCTGGAACTGGAGTTACAGACAGTTGTTAGCTGTCATGTGGGTGCTGGGGTTTGAACCCAGGTCTTCTGCACGAACACCAGTGATCTTAACTGCTGAACCATCTCTCCAGCCCTGGCACTAAAATTTAAAGCCACTGCAGCCTGTGTTTCTAGCCCCAGCCCTTCAGAATGAAGGTAGCATCCCTAAGTGTGAGTTCACAGGTGTTTGGTCAAACAAAGCATATGCTGACAGGCAGGCAAGGGAGAGCTGCAGCCTCCTAGCTACAGCTGATAATGATACTTTACTCAGTTCTGCTGCTTCTGCCAGGCCTGGTTGATGAGCCCGTGTGCCTTGACTTTTGTTGTTGGCTACAGGAAACTGGCTAGTAGTAAGTAGAAAGGATAAAAAAAAGTTCTATAACTTGTACATTAAATGTGTCTAAGGAATAGAAGGTAAATAATTCTGCCATAGAACCTATAGAGAATTACAAATCTACCGTAATTACTTGGGTGTTTTCAGATGATATCCTTTAAGTAGAAGTGAGGTTAAATAAATATTCATATACAGTAAAAACAAATACGTGTGCATCTCTCAAGAAAGCTCATAATGAGTAATAAATTGGCTGAAATGTAGTTTCTCTATAGGAACTGTGGTGATTTCCTGAGTCCAGAATTGCCGAACACAAATTTGCTGAAGAAACATTTTCATCTACCCCAAGCCGAAAATTGTGTAACAAAGGCTGTGGGTAAAATGGTACAGACCTACAGAAAGCACATTTTCTTATCACTGAATATAAAAAATTTCTTACAAACTTCGTTTCTATTTAATTTCAAGCTTTCCTATCTATGATAAACAGAAGGGCACTTAATTAGAAATCAAGATGGCTGCACTTTCTGCTTCTAGGTCTGAGATAAAGGCCTGAGGGTTCCCCCTAGCCAGCAGGGCCCCTTTTCTGACAGGTCCAGACCCCTTTAGATAAGACCAAGTTTGGACTTTGAAACTGGGAGCTCTGACCTATGGGCTCTCTCTTCTTGGTTTAAATGACCAATACTGAATTAGGGCAAAGGGGCCTGCCCCAGACTAGCAAAAACACTTGAAGGCACCTGTGGAAGGCTTTGGATTTTATTTATTTATTTATTATTTATTTATTTTTGTATTTTTTCTGAGTCCCTTCTCCACTTACTCTCTGTTTGAGTTTGAGTATGGGTGTGATTCTTCCTCTTTTTTATTTTTTATTTTTATATTTTCATCTTTTTGAGACAAGGTCTCCCTGTAACCCCAGCTGGACTGGAACAAGCTTTGTAGACTAGGCTGACCTTGAACTCTCAGAGAGCTGCCTGACACTGCCTCCCCAGTGCTGGGATTAAAGGAGTGTGGCACATTAGGCTAATTCTTCATCTCTCAATAAAGTCTGTTTGCCTGCTGCTTTCTGCTGCTTCTGATATTTTTCTCATCTTTTAATTTTTTAATTTGTGTAGAAAATGAACTGAATCATGACACCTAAACAGTAACACTATCTCTGTGTGAAAAGCATTAGAACAGTGGCTCCATTTATAGAATTTGAGAATTAAATGATGTTTTTATTGTATTGGTGCCATTTGATTCCAAATAGGATGTGAAACTGTTCCAGTAATGATCCAACTATTAATCTAATGAATGGGAACAAATTAATGCTCTGGATGTTCATTTAGTTAAAAAGTGAAATATTTAATGGTTACAATAGATAATTTTGTTAGCTTTTGAATATGAAACTTCTTAGGGGCTGGAGGGATGGCTCAGTGGTTAAGAACACTGGCTGCTCTTGCAGAGTACCCAGGTTCGATTCCCAGCACCCACATGGTGGCTAACAACTATCATTAATTCCACTTCCAGGGGATTGGTTGTTGCCCTCTTCCAACCTTCATGGCATTGCATGACAAAGATGTACTTACATGTAGAAAATACATTCATATACATAAAATAAAAATATTACAGAAAATATTTTTAAAAGAAAATGAAACTTTTGAATTTTGGTTATACTTGTTTTGAAATTAATTGCCAATCTCTAAAACAAGATTCAGTGAATAGAAAGTCAGAAATGTTAACATCTCCAGGTTTACTGCATGTGATTGACTAAAAAGTGAAAGACAGGGAAGCCCATTAAGTCCCCCAGGTTCCTTTCCTCATGGACCTGGTACAAAATGACAGCAAACAGCAGCAACGTTGGTAGTATATGCAGCCTGTTGTATGCATGGGTTGTCCTAAGGGACATTGGAGACAGTTTTCTGGTGGATGTTCATGTTTCTGATCTGATGCTGTCACCAATCATGGCTCCAAACAGGTATATGAGGTGCCTTAGTGAGATCTCAGAGCAAAGTGTCCAGGATTCACATTGGCCAGGTCATCATGTCATCCACACCAAGATGCAGGATAAGGAGCAAGGGATTGAGGTCTGTCTAGAACCAAATTCAAGTTCCCTGGACCCCAGAGGATCCATATTTCAAGGAAGGGGACTTCACCAAGTTTAACGCAGATGAATTCAACATAGCTGAGAAGCTGCTCATCTCTAACAGCTGTGAGTCAAATACATCCCCTGGACAAGTGGCAGATGCTGACTCCTAAGAGACCCACTGTGCTGAGTTTTCATCCCACTAAACTGTGTTCAGCAATAAAATCTCACATCCAATCAAAAGAGAAACAAGAAAATGGAAGGATATTTAAATAATCATCTACAAATGCAAAGAAAATGGAAAAGTTAATGCAAAGAGCAACCAGCTTATAGACAACATTAATATCCTGCAATTGTGTGCTACTGTATTTTGTTGTGAGGAAAGCCCTATAGATGGAACTCTGGGACATGGAGACTTTGATTTTGTTATACATTTGAGGATATCCAGTTGAATAATTTTATAAGCTTTCATTCAGAAATATCTTTATATAAAAATCCTTACTCTGGAGGTAATAAGATAGTATTTGGGAAATAATTTGAACTAAAGTATTTATACATTATAGTTAAAATGTAACTTGAGGACATCCTCCCTTTGGTAGAGTGTGTTCTGAACTTACTACTTATCTGAGCACCTACAGTGAGAAGAATTATAGTAAAAACTACTCTGCTTTATAGAGAGATGTTAACTGCATATTGAAAAGAAGATTTTAAATGAGCTCCTTATGAAACACAAAAAAACAGATTTTAAACTCTTTTTAATTGAATTATTGAAAATTTCATATTTGATACAATATATTTTGGTCATATTTAGATTCCCTCCCTTATCTGCACACCTCCCCATAACACCATATATTAAGTTTTATAGAATCAAGCTGGTGTCCCCAAATGCACTTTGGTGTGGGTTCCTCCACTGGAGCCTGGTCAATCTCCCAAGAGTCTCACTCTTAAAGGGGAATGACTTTCGTCCTCTGAGCAGCCATCAGTTGCCAATGCTTTCTGTTGTAGAGTTGCATTTCTTACCCACTTCCCCATGTCTATACTTGGATTTTGTCTGGCTTGAGCTTACATGGAACTTGTGCATGCTGTCACCATTGCTGTGAGTTCTTATGAGTAACTGGCTGGCTGTCTGGAAAACTGTTTCCTTGCTGTCATCTACCTCCTCTTAAAAATCTTCCTGCCTTCTTCCACAATGATTCGAGAGCCTTGGGAGACAGATGTCTGATGTAGGTGTCCTATTCAAAGATAAGCAGTCTGGAGCCTCTTATTCTCATGTCTAGCCTTAGGTTTCTAGTCCTAATATCAATGTCGAATATGGGCTCCATCCTGTGAGGTGAACATAAAATCAAATTAGAAAGTTTTTGGTTATCCCATATTATTCATCTCACATTGCCCTGGTAGACATATCTAGACCAGTGGTAGCTCACAGGACACACAGCTGGGTAATGTTGATGATTCATTTTCTCTGCAGGTTGTATGCATAGCTCCTTCCAGCACTATGAAAGCTAAACAGTAGAGATAAGGCTTTGAAGTCAGCACCAGCTTAATTTCTCCTTGTTTGTCCTAAAACTCATATATGTAGTGCCTTCAGCAATAGGATCTTACCATCAAATTGTGGTGAGTATCCAAGAATAGGGGCAAAGACCATTATTGTTTGAGGGTCTGTGGGATCCCTGGTGAACAACTTCAAAAGTGGCAGTGTAATACTGGTATTGGGCTTTTTTCTTGCTAGCCTATGATGTTTCATAAGGAAAATGTCTCCCAGGTATAATGCAATTCTTTTTCATCTTTTTAATTAAATATATGCATGTACTTTAGGAAGCTTCTTCAGTGGTAGATTTCCATGTTTTTTCTTAAGGCCTTTTGTGTTAGTTATCTTCCCCAACCTCCCATCTGCCCTGCCCATGCATTTAAGCCTCCATACCCTATTATTCCCCTTCCCCCCTTTATATCACTACATTTGAACCTCCCCTCCCAAGAAGATTCCCCCTCCACAATGACCATTCAGGAGTTTTCTGACCTCTCTGGATTTTCAAATTGAAATCTAAATATCTAAGATTTCAAACTAGCATTCAGCTAGCTATGAAAGAACATGTGACATTTCTTGTCCTGGGTCTGGGTTACTTCACTCAGTAGTATATCTAGTTCCATTTACCTGAGGACTACATAATTTCTATTTTTAAGATCTAGATAATATTCTATTGCATATATGCACCACAACTTCATTGTCAGTTCATCAACTGATGGACATCTAGGATGTTTCCAATTCCTGACTATTATGAAAAGGGCAGCAATGAACATGGATGAATAGGTATTTATGTAGTAGGGTATAGATACTTTTGAGTATATGCTGAAGAGTGGCATGGGTGGATCAAATAGTAGCTCAATTTTTAGTTTTTTGAGGAATCATCACACTGATTTCAATAGTTGCTGCACCAGTTTGTACTCCCAAGAGCACTGGATAAGATTTTCCTTTTCTCCGTGTTCTCCAGCATTTGTTGTTTGTTTTTTGTATCCTTGTTATTCTGAGTGGGATAAGATGAAATCTCAAAGTGGTTTTGTCTTGAATTTTCTTGAAGACAAAAGATGTTGAACATTTTCTTAAGTATTTCTCAGCCATTTGAGTTTTATTTTTAGAGAACTCCTTGTTTAGCAACTTGCCCCAATTTTTAAATTGAATTTTTGAGATTTCCATATAATATAATTTGATAACATTTATATCTCCTCTCCCATCCATACCTCCCTACATTACCCCCCGACATACACACACATTTCAATGTACTCTCTGTAAAATAAAGCCTATAGTGTCTATCTTAAATTCCCATATGTTCTCCAATGTGGATCCGTCCACTGAAGCTTGCATAGAACTTATGCATGCTGTCATCACTGCTGTGAGCTCACATGAGTAACTGACCAGTCATCTGGAGATCTCTGCCACCACCCCCCTCCCCCAATGGCCATCTACCACCTCTGGCTCTTACAATCTTTCCACCTCCTCCTCTGCCATGATCCCTGATCCTTGTGCTCCAGAAGCCTGACATGTGTTTTCCACTCAGAGGAAAGCTCTGTGCAGACACTTTATAAAGCTGTAATTTTCTTCTTCTCTTCTTCCCCCTCCCCCTTCTCCTCCTCCCCCTCCTCCTCCTCCTCCTCCTTCCTTTTTCTTTTTTTGTCTTCTTGAGATAGGGTCTCCCTGTAGCTCCAGCTGGCCTGGAACTCACTATGTAGACCAGGCTAGCCTCAAACTCACAGAGATATACCTGCCTCTGCCTCCCAAGTGCTAAGATTGAAGGCATGCACCACCACACCTGGCCTAGAAAGCCATACTTTTCTTTGTCAATCACCATCTGCTGCATAAAGAATCTTCTTGGGTGAGAGTTGAAAGATGCATTAATCTTCAACAGTGGGTGAACACCTGATACAGCACAGTCCATTTTGATCATCCCTCTTGGGACTGGGAGTCAATATTATTATGGGGTTACCACAGCTACATTTCACAGGTGGGGAACCACAGCTCTAGCTCACAGGAGAGGACCACTTCTCCAGCTCACAGGAGTGGACCAGGACTCCAGCCCCCCAGGAGAGGACTGTGGCTTCCAGCTCATAGGAGAGGAGCCACCACTCTGCTCCTGCACATATGAGGGGCCCTTGACTCCAGCTCAAGGGAGGGGAACTATAGTTCCAGCTCATGGAAAGGGAACCACAATCCCTGCTCACAGGAGAGGACCACAGCTCCAGCTTATAGGAGGGAACCACACCTCCAGCTCATAGGAAGAACCGGAGATCCACCTCACAGGAGAGGACCATGACTCCAATTCACAGGACAGGACCACAGCTCCAGCTCTTATGAAGGATACACAGCTCCAGATTTCAGGAGGGGACCACAGCTCCAGCTCAGTGGAGGGGACCACAACACTGGTCACAGGAGAGGACCACAACTCCAGCTCATGGGAGGGGAACACAGCTCCAGCCCACAGGAGGGGAACCACAACTCTGTGGTCACCACCAGTGGCGGCAACTCCTCTGTTCTCACGGGTGCCACTCCCTCGTTCTCACAGGCATTGAGACTGCTCCTCCACTTGCCCTGGGCCAAGGCTGCTCTTCTGCTAGCCCAGTGCTGAAGCAGCTCTTCTGCTCACCTGTTGCTGAGGCAGCTCTTCTGCTTGCCTGGTGCTGACTCAGATCCTCGCTACTTCTGCCCAGTCCCAGACCCCAGGGCTGGTGAGGAGACTGTGTCAGTGGAGCTGTATTCAGACACAGGAGATGAGGTTCAGTGACACAGGTCTGCTTTATTGCAGGAAGGCACAAGCTTATATAGGGGTAGTGGT